CAGCAAAAATAAGGGAATTCTTAGAGGAAAACGTTCTCAGGTTAATCAATGAAAATCAGGCAACCATTTAGGCGGGTGAAAGAACACCAGCCAGATTGAATCCCTAGAAGAAGTCACTGAGAAATATAATAGTTAAATTATCCAACTATGAGAAAAAAGAGAAAAATCATAAGAGCAGCTAGGGGAAAAGGTATCCAAATAATAATATGTTCAGACCTATCAGCAGACATGAAGAAGAGGGAGTAGAGTAACATATTCCAAAAATTGAAGGAAAATAATTTAAACCAAATACTGCTATATCTAGCCAAATTATCTATTAAGATAGATGGATAAGTAAGAGTCTTCCAAGATAATGAAAAACTCAATGAATAAATAAAAAGAACCCCAACCCTACAAAATATCCTTTCTGACCCAGTATGGGTAGAAGATCAACACTCACAGAGCACAAATAAGAGACCATCACATAGAACAACTCGACCTAGTGGGCGGCAAAGGGAAACCAGCCCCCAAGATAGCATTAGCTCAAGAGTGGAAAGAAGGCAAGAATGAACTACACACACACAGAACACAAACTGATACGATAGGGATTTAGGAAAACACCCAAAACAAAAGGTATAAGATGACATAACAGAGTCCACAGATGGATGTAGTAACACTGAATATCAAGGACTGAACACAGGCACTAAAAGGCAGAGGCTATCATACTGGCTCAGAAAACATGATCCATCGAACTGCTGCATACAGGAGATATATCTCAAGGTTGCAGATAAAAACAGGTTGAGAATTAAATGCTGGAGAAACATATACTAAGGAAATGCCAATACAAAAAAAGGAGGGGAAGCTGTCTTAATCTCTGACAAAATTGATCTCAAGGTACAAGCCATAAAAAGAGACTAGGAGGGGCATGATATAATGCCCAAGGGAACAGAAGACCAAGAACTACTGAGCATTATAAATATATATGCGCCCAATGAAAGACCTGCAAAATTCATAAATCAAACACTCTAAAAGATAAAAAAAGAAATCACAGGCTCAATAGTTATAGCAGGTGGCTATAATACACCCCTCTCTGAAAAAGACAGATCATAGGGAAAGAAACATAACAAGGAGGCTACAGATCTAAACATCACAATTGGGCGACTTGACCTGATATTTTCAGAGCTTTCTACCCAAAAGACAATAACATTCACATTCTTTTCAAGTTCATATGGCACATACTCGAAAATAGACTACATGCTGAAACACAAGTAGAGCCTGAGTAAATTCAAGAACATATGGATTATACAGACATCTCTCTCTGACCACTATGCCATAAGTCTGGAAATCAACAAAAGGAAGATGAAGAAAACAAGCGTAAATAATTAGAGGGTGAATAATTCTCTATTGCAAAAGGAGTGGGTATTAACCCAGATCAGAGATGAAATTAGGAAGTTTCTAGAAACCAATGAGAATGAAAATACATCATACCAAAACCTTTGGACACAGCAAAGGCATTTATCAGAGGAAGGCTGATAGCAATACATGCACACATGAAAAAGGAAGATTTATGGTTGATATGCTGGCACAAAACTTACACCAATTAGAGCAGAGTAAACAGAACAATCCTATTAATAGCAAAAGAAAAGAAATAATAAAATCCATAGCTGAGATAAAGGAGAGGGAAAACAAGAAAACTATGGAAAAAATGCAGCTAAAAGTTGGTTCTTTGAAAGGATTAACAGAATTGATACACTATGGTCAAACCTAACCAAAAGAAAGGAAGGAAAAAACCTCAATAGCAAGGATGAGGGATGAAACAAGGGACATAACAATGTACCCTAATGAAATCAAAAGGATAATTACACAGTACTATGAGGGCCTGTACTCTATCAAATTCAACAATTTGGAAGACATGGACAAATACTAAGAGAAACAATCCCTTCCTAGACTATCCCAGATGGACATCAAGAACCTCAACAGACACATAGCAATAGAAGAAATAGACAAGGTTATCAAGGGATTACCAACAAAAAATCCCCTGGGCCAGATGTCTTCACAGAAGAATTCTACCAAGCATTCAGGGAAGAACTGAAACCAATCCTACACAAACACTTCCAAAATATAGAAAAAGACGGAAAACTCCCAAATTCCTTCTATGAAGCTAGTATCATTCTGATACCTAAAGTTGGTAAGGATCCCACAAGAATCAAGAACTACAGACCAATATCCCTAATGAATATCGATGCAAAAATCCTTAACAAAATACTGACCGATAGAATAAAAAAGTATATAAAACAAATCATGTATTATGACCAACTGGGATTCATACCAGGGATGCAGGGATGGTTCAACATAGAAAAGATGATTAGTATTATCCCCATATTGACATGAAAAATTATAATAACCACATGATAATATCAATAGATATTC